CCGTGTAGGGCTCCGTGGTGGGCGGGGAACCAGTGCGCGGAATATAAACATATGTTCATGGGCACTATATCATCAGCCAACCTCCCCCCCCCCCCAAACACCGTCCGTCGTAGCCAGGGAGAAAGCCGAAGCTATCCACTCACGGACGCTGATGTGAGACAATCTGTGCCACTGCCCCAGTTTCAAGCTGTAAAGATCCGACAGGGTGGATGAGCAAGGAAAACAGTACCGCTCCGATGAACCCATTTCAGCGCCAACAGGAATTTCCCAAGGTAGAAACACCCAAGGATGTCTTTTCGTATACGGATGGGGGCATATAAGTGCATTTAACGTACGAACGCGAGATCCAGCACATGCTCAAGACGACTACACTGATCAACAAAGTACAAGGACAGTGAGAGGTTAGGCTACCCCTATCGGTGCGCCCTTCCCCCTCTAAGAACTACTTCAAAGGTGTGATCACTTGTCGGGATCTTCGCAGTGTGAGTGATGAGGATGTTGCCGAGGATTTGTGTGAGGAAGGAGTGACAGCGGTGAGACTTATTGGAGGAGAGAGAGAGAGAGAGAGAGAGAGAGAGAGAGAGAGAGAGAGAGAGAGAGAGAGAGAGAGAGAGAGAGAGAGAGAGAGAGAGAGAGAGAGAGAGAGAGAGAGAGAGAGAGAGAGAGAGAGAGAGAGAGAGAGAGAGAGAGAGAGAGAGAGAGAGAGAGAGAGAGAGAGAGAGAGAGAGAGAGAGAGAGAGAGAGAGAGAGAGAGAGAGAGAGAGAGAGAGAGAGAGAGAGAGGAGAGAGAGGAGAGAGAGAGAGAGAGAGAGAGAGAGAGAGAGAGAGAGAGAGAGGGGAGCTGACAGATGCTGACCCGATTATTCTGACGTTTTGCTCTGCGAGAGCGCCAGATAAGGTCCACGTTGAATATTAGTCGGCCCTCGTTAGGGTCTAAGTACCCAACCCATTTCGGTGCTACCGATACCAGACATACGGTCACTTCACTGACAAGTGATGGAAAGAGGTTAGATGCGGAAGGTGCGCAGAAGTATGTCACCAACACTCCAGTGCCAATCAGAAATAGTTCATGCGTCAACTGTGGTCAGAGTCATATGGTGTCATATCGTTGCTGCCAGTCCTTCTTGTCAGAGAAAGCTGTCCTGAGCATCAAAGTGAAGGGAGGAGTTTCGTTTCGGGAGGCCCAGCGTCGACACAAGGACGCGACCACCACAAGGACATATAAGGACATATGAGCCCTGACTAAGCCAGCGAGAAATTTACTTATGGTGTTCAGTGCATTCGCGAGGAACATTATTCACACAGATAAGGGAGTAGTAATAGCCTTATTCCTCGGAGAAAAAACAGGAGAATGGAGAAATAGATTGGCTGCTATTTCGGTAAGATGCCTTTATTGAGCAAGAGCAGAAGACGTCTGCTACTGTTTCGATAAAGGCATGTCGCAGAAATATCGACCAATCTATGTCCCAAGTCTCCTAGTTTTTCTCCGAGGAATAAGGCTATTACTCTTGTCTTATCTGAGCGAGAAATCTAGTCCGAGTAACACCCGTAGCCAAGGACGCACTGAAACTGCGTGGACTTGATGATTTTAAAGGCATGACCGCAGGCGAGTTTGTACAGCTGATTCTAAGCACACTAGAATCAATTGGCCCTGCTGCTCCGTCGTCCCGAAAGTCGGACCCTCTCCTGTGGCAGGTGGACAGTGCAAGCTGTTCATTTCAGGGCCTAGTGACCCTGCCGGTACGTGAGCTCCTACTCCTTCTCCCGCTCGCTCCCTCCTCAGCACCTGCATTCCCCATTCGATCCTTCCACCATTCCTCGTTCTCGTTTTATCTATAACTTCTTAGCAGAACGTCTTTTTTTCGCGTCCATGTTGGTCATCAGTTCTCTGATCGTTTCTTACAACGGAGCGGTGTGTCCCAGGTGTCGTGTTTTAGGTGTCGCGCCTTTTGCGCTCGTGATCAATGACATCAGAGATGCATTTCCTCAGTCAGGCGGTCGTTCGGTGTTCGTCGACGATCTTGCAATCTGGTGCAGCTCTTCTTTGGCCGCAGGGGTGGAGCGTCAGTTGCAACTAGCTGTAACGCGTTTGGAGAGATGGACCTCGCTCAATGGTTTTGGAACACGGAGAGGCAAGTGTTCCCGGATGAGTTTCGGCTGAGGTCCTTGGAGTGGATCGCGTCATACCTGGATCACATACCTGGAAGACCTACCCGGACGGTTCAAAAGTGGAAGCCGATGTTGGAGGTGCTTCTGTGCAGGACCCTGTCACAGTCTCCTGCTTTGCCTGTTCACGCATCGGTCGCCACATCCGAGCCAATAGCCATTATTAAAGTACTCAATTTCATAGAAGTTGACAGTGACAGTCAATACTTTATTTTATCGGACTCTCTTAGTAGCCTTATGACACTGCAGGATTTGAACTCATCATATCCCATCGTTCAGAACATTTTAACTATTCTTAGTACACTTCCCGATCCGGGAAGCAGGTGGTATTCTGCTGGATACCGAGCCACGTTGGCATATCGGGTAATGAAGTAGCTGATGCCGCGGCAAGGCGTGCCACGCACATCCGCACGCTGCCAATAAACTGAGAGAGATAAAGCCCCGGTTGGGATCATGGGCATCCAGCTGCCGTAAGGTGAGGCAGGAAGAAGTGACGCTATGCCGCCTGAGAATAGGACACACATACGCAGCTCAACGATGCCTACCTGTTATGTGGGGAAGACCAGCCGCGATGTCCTCGCTGCGCGGATCGTTACACCGTGCGACATGTCTTGATTATGCGCACCTCGCCTCGTAACGTATGCGCCATTTTTGATCAGGGCCCACGCGCCAAGCGCTTTGCTATGTTGAGAGACGACTCGAGTTTAGTAAATGACGGTTACATTTTTAGTGTCTTGAAGACATACAATTTCATGCCATATATCGGACGTAACCTTATCTCCTCGTTTTTTTCACGCATCTGTTGGATAAGAGGTAAGTTATGGGCGCCATATGACCATCCTAGTCGGTGCGCCCCATAGCCCAAATCATCATAATCAGCCTGCCCAGCCCTATGACATCTCGGTTTGCGGCAGTGTGCGCCGCAAGTCTGGCAGTAGCCCGCCAACGGCTGATATATGTTGCATTGCTTAGTGAATCTTTTGAAAACAAGACAGGGAGTCGGGGTTACAACGCCGGATGTGAGTGTGGGCGCTGAAGGTAATGTGAGAAACAGATTCTGCACCGTAAAAGAGACGGTTGGAGCATGGACGACTTTCCACCGGAGCAACGGAAGAGGAGGAGCCCTTCGTTGTGGTCCTCGTATCGGTCATACTTATGGAACACACAGTTTCTTCTGTCAAGCTCCCACGTGTCTACGTTGTACCCACCAGCTATCAGTTCCCCGCGCTGGTTCAGTGCCGCCAGCTTGCTGTTGAGTGCAGAGCAGCAGAAAGTATTAACAGACGATAATTCGAATGTCATTTCAGCAAGATGAGTATGGAGGTCTGATGACAAGTTCTCGACCTTCAGCGCTCCTTTTGGCGGCAGCACACGCAGCAGGCTGTCCTTGCGTTCCTTCATAAGTGAGAACCATGTAGTTGGCGTCAAGGTGGTCGAAACGTTTATGAAGGACATCAGTTTTACAGCCAACTACTCACCCGCTTAATGGTCCTTGACTCTATGTTACTTGCACTATGTGAAACCTACCTCCGGCATGATAGTACCACGCACCTAACGAGTAAAGCGCGGATGTGCTGTACACATAATTATCACTTAACACGGTAACAGGCGCAAAATAACCGCTGTAGTCGAGGCGCGCCCTTAACTCAAATATCATCATCATCATACTATTTGAAAAGCTAGCTGACTGTTACTTCGAACCGACGTATTAGTCCTGGAACTTCTCGTACTAGCTACAGTGCGCGTGCTACAAAGGCTGAAAACCTTTTCGAAGTCCTTTTAGGCCTCATAGGTTATCACCTATGACTTAGGAAGGCATACCGGCACCAGCCCAAACACTCGTTAGTGGGTGCTTTAGTAGCACAGCTAAACAAGGCTCCTTAAAGACACATATTCACACCAAGCGAGGTAACGGTATCAAAGACTAATAAGATTAGTTGTGTGTCCTGATCCACATGACAATGGCAGCAAATACACCCCAAGCTCATCACAGGTGCACCTAAACGCAATTCGCCGAACTGATCTTCCATTGGTCAGTTCGGTATTAGCACCACTCATGTGCAGGTTTTAGCGCTAGCAAGATAACACAACAAGCGGGCCATGACAGGTTTCTCGCGGATGCTAGGAGCTTGTAAATGTTACCGAAGCGTCTTGTTTACAACCTTCGAAACAGTACATCGTCCAAGCCGTGCCTTTGAACCACTGTAGCTCTAATAGCGACAGAAAGTATAAATAGATAACCATTCGAATGTAATTTCAGCATGATTAGTCTGGACGCCTGCCGATGAGTTTTCGACCTTGAATATACCTGGAAGTGCTGGTTAAACAACGCGGTAGACTAAGCATTGGTTATATTGACAGCGCTCGAGATTTCAAGCTAAGTTTTTGATCATTTTTAACCAGTACACTCTAGTATACTGAAGGTCGATAACTGAGCAGAAGGACTTTGAACTCAGAACGCCGAAAGACCAGGAGCTGAAGGCCTTCCTCGCGTATATCAAGTTAATTTCTCATCAGAGATGTGATGTATACACGCATACGACGTCATGTTGAACGAAGGAAATTGAACCCTTTCTACAATTTAGTCAAAATCGCTGAAAAGTGTTTGGGTGCAAGGCTGGGCGAGAGCTGGTGGCACCGCCAGGCTGTCCAAAATGCGGTCGAAAGTCTTGTTCCAATTTCTGAAGTGTTCGCCCCATTCTTTCCGCATTCTTCAGCTGGCTCTCCTGGGGTCTCTTTGTTTCTCCATGAGTATCCCAGATACTCAGAGTACTTCTCCCCTTCGGCGTCATCCCGCCTGACTGCTTTCATGGAATCACACGGCTGGCGATGTTGACCACGGTAAGCGAGACGAGGCCCAGAAGGCCATGCCGCCTGGCTGCTCCACTGGTGCTTCCTCATGCGCACGCGGGCGTCTCCGCCACCAGAGGCTCGAACTCGGGGTACGAAGACGGTCCCGAGTACTGTGGACAGAGGAGGCACAGGCGTGAGGCAGATGGAGAGCACGAACGCGGAACCGTCCAAGCCGGCGTATGCCACTGTTCTGTCCCAGGTGTACATCTCCTACAGGGAGCTGGTTCTCAACGGTTCATCACAGTCCTTATCCCATATATCATAAGAAGCACGGCACCATTCTGCAGGTACGCTTACTGCCTGCAAAGAAGTGCAGCACATGTTTGCTTAGGTTCAGTGCAGTTAAGACGCCCCATTGGCTGTACATTGACACTGTAAGTAATTCGGTAATCACCCAGTTGAAAAGTTCCTTACCCCATTGTCCCTGATATAAGCATCTTTGACATTGAAACATTGTGCATTTAGCTGTTGCATTCGCCGGCTTTGATGCAGCCAACGATACCTCCCAAGAATAATTACGCACGACGCGACATGCCAGCTTTCATGGTACGCTTACCTGACATACCTTGATTTGCTTCAGCGACTGACTTACCTCGTCTCTGTAGTCGCTCGGTAACATCGCATGATTGCCTCGACACCGATGGAAGAGTTGGCCACCGTTGACCTGAGCCTGCAGGGCATCCACAGCTGGCTGTTCCCAGTTCATCTGAGTCAGGTACTCGTACAGGGTGACGGTCGGCGAGCCTGTGCAGTCGCACCATCGCGTGTGACGAGGGCACGGCACCAAAACGCGTTCCGTCGTCGTCCTTTCTGGTCCTCTCAGATTGCCGACTTAAGATGAAGTGCGGCCGCACAATGTGTGATTAATGTATGCAGGCGTTCTGGCTACACTCCGAGAAGCTAGCCATGCACTACGGCAATAACGGTATGAGGCGCGGGCAAGAAGCAGTCGCATTATGGCCACAGTCCTGCAGTGCGTCAGCTGTCAGTAGTTGCACCATTTATAAACCTACGTAGAAACCATCATCGGGCAGTCAGTTACCGTGTTCTCATCACGAACGCGTACCTTCTGCTGACACCTTCATGGTACTAAGCTGGGCTTTATTAAACCACTCTTCGGGAGACACCTTGACAGAGTTATCATTCGATGATCTGATACTCTTGTCTTCTTCCGTCTCATTTTTGAAAATCTGAAAACATCAATGTTCAGGCCCTGTGAATGGGTGGCAGTTATCCCGTTCCTCCAATGTGACTATTTGGGGCTGGATTACATCAGAGATCACGGTCACATTGACCGGCCGTGATAGGCATTATTTCTTTTATGACGGACAAGTTTCGCCGGTCTCGGGTTGTACATCACAAACGCCTCTTGGTAGTTAAGGTAGTAGTCTCGCCAAGTAGATCACGGTCGCCTTTTGGAGGAGCATCTAATTCTCTGAAGACAGTTAATAAGCACGTGTTTTCAATGTTTTTAACGCAACGAATATCGAGAGTTCAACCCAAGGTGTATCTTCAGCCTTACCTGAAGCTGGTTGACGAGGTCTGTTCTGTATTTAAATCCGCCAATAGTCCAGAGATTCCCTCCAATATCCGGGCTGAAACATTTGTTCACTTGGAAAATTCGACGAAGCAGTACGATATCCAAGGAATTCAGTTTCCAGTGGATGTCAGCATTGGAAACGTCTTCGGTCGTCAAACGTTCAATCTTTTAGTAAATGCCTCACACCAACAGTTCGACAAACTTACACTTTGAGACCTAAAATACATCTGCACGTGCAAGAAAAAGCGAGAAGGACGAGCTCTGCGCGAACCAGGCGTACTTACGGCAACTCCAGACCAGCGACCTCCACCGATCGCACACCGAGATCCTTCAGGTAGTGGCCCATATTAGGGTAACTGGGGCAGCTGTGCAGGGCCGTCCGCGGGTAGTACGTCACGAACGCCAGGCACATCTCGTTCCGAGTGGAGAACCCACCCTGTTAACAGCGAGCATCAAGACAGAGCGCCGTGGTCAGTGGTATGTCGAATCAAATATGGGACATCACAGGAAACGGCATGGTGCTGACGTGTAGAAGGGTATGATGAAGTCATAGAACATCATGACTTCGCGCAGCGGATTTTACAACGCCTTACGTTCTTATTAAGGATAGCAGAGTAGTGACTGGTTGGCCCATACAGTGCGCACATGCGTCTCTCCCTAGTTATATAGACCAAGATGCAACAGATGGCGTTCTACAATCCGAAGACGCTTGTCCTACCAATACATATGTGTCATGCAATGAGATGCTACAAACGACTACGTCGGCACCTTTGCCACCCTGCTGACAACAAGCTCGCTTGGCTAGTTGATAGAAAAGGTGACTGGCTGCTCCGCTTGTTATCCCTGGGCGTTGTTTTGCGCCTGACCAGTCGGTATGATTCTGAGCGAACGGTCATTTGCAATATCTGGTAACCTGAATGATAGCATTCATGGACTGCCAATCTCCGTACCAAAGGCGGATATTTCTACTTATTTTCGTCTGGCACCCAGTTTCTGCGAACCATTACTAGCCCCTACCTCCAGTGCCATAGATGTGCTAGTGGTAGTTGGTACTTGGTAGGTGGGGTAGGTAGTAGGCAGTTGATAGAAAAAAGGTTGGTAGTACTACCAACAGTTAGCTCAGCCGGCTGCTGATGTACATTTCAGACGTTCCTACTGTTGTACTTCTTGCGCTGCTGACTTGTCCTCTTTTGCATGTCTTAGCAAGAGGTGCGTCGACGTCGACTTTGATTTCAGTGTGGGCCTTAACGCGTCGCCGAGGCCAGAGAAGGCAGCAGCACACCTATTGATCGAAGGCGGACAGGTACAAAAACACCCGAACTCCGCAGTGGAATGGCACAATGCCACTTAAGAAGGAACTAGGTACGTCACGGCAGAACGTCATAGTTTAGCGTCACAGCAAGACGGCACGGAGCACTGCTGACGTGAATGTCGTGGCGGACATGTGATCTTGATGCCGGATCATCGAAAACCTGTCAAGTGTCAGGCATGCTGCTCACCATGGTGACGTTGGTGCGGTCCTCCGTGTTGTATCCGCACTCCAGGATTAGTGTGTCGCCAGGCAGGATCCGCACATTCCCCTTCATTACGCGACTCTGCTGGAAGTTGAAGTCATACGTCCAGTCTGAAACGTACAGAGGTTAGTGAGGCACGTGCGCGCTGCCGACAGAAGCTAATTTTGGAAAGACATCAGCACGTAGACATTTGCCCTTGAAATACTAATTGCACTATGGGGGGAAATGACAACTGCTGACCCATCATGCGCTAATCCACGTGCGGTGGACCTGAAAATAAACGATGTTTTGGTATTTGCAACCTCTGCATAGTGCCGAAAACACAAAACTGTTCAATGGTTTCAATTCTACGAATTCTTCTTGGAAGATTGGTGTTTTTATATCGTTTGTCCACAGACAATAATGACCACTGGACGAGTGGCCTTAAAGTAGGCAGTCGCGGCTAAAGCAGTGCTTGAGCATCGGACACAATTTCAGGTCAATAGTGTTCTCACAACTTCGGCAGAGGCGTCCGCGAACTTCACAACTTCGGCAGAGGCGTCCGTGAACTGGCTGATGTAAAATGAGTTCTTGACCAAGGTTATTGAATGCGTCTGCCCTTGATCAATTGCGCGACATTTGTAATAATTTTCGTAAGAACATTACTTAATATAATTTGAACAACAAATCTGCACGCGTCCAACGAGATGGCTGTTTTTTTCGTGCACCTAGCTAGCGAATCTCCCACTAACCGCCATGCGCGCGTTCCGAAAGCTCTCAGGGCCGAAATGTCGAGGCGGCACAGTCGCACTCTCCCCCCAGATCTCGCCTGTTTGCAGATGAAAGTTCTCCGCGACGGACGGGCGAGGACGGCAACGCGCGGCGTGGGCGCGGTCTCCCATCCAGCGTCTCACCGTGAGCGATGGGCGGCAGCTCGCGGCCATCTCTGATGTGCCGCACGTTCAGCGACCTGCCCGCCACGTGTGCGTGCAGTAGGACAGAGTGGATCTGCACACCTTCGCTGGGCAGGTACTGGAAAACACGACAGCGGTGGACTTCAGAGCACGGTTAGGGCTGTGACGTCGCTGGTACTCTTTTGGGTTCGTTTCGTGGTGAGCGTGACACGTTGTGTTGAACCATGCATTGCAGGTCGAACTGCCTGCATATTGGGAGTAGTATAAATTCAGAACCCCAGGGCGAAGGTGTAATGGCATGCAACCCAACGTTCGGTGGTGAGAAACAGCGCATGTGGCGTAAACATAAAACATCTGGCTTTACTACAGTCTAGCGTATCAATCAGTGAGAGGCTGCTAGGGCACTGGTTTAAACACTTAAAATTTCTCAAGATGATCATACTTGCTCATCCTTGGCAGCTCTGCTGCTCTTGCTAGCTTGCCGGTTATTTGCCACAGGTGTAAGCGGAAGCGTTGACAAAAACGTGGTAATGATCACATGTGTGCGTGATGTGAAATTTTTGCAATGTTAGTGGGAGGTTTCTCTGCGGTCGACCTCTCAGGTCAGGCAAACAATTTCGCATAACTTTGTCGCTATTCCGACGCAGCGCTGCATTTGTATGCGAAGTACAGCTGATAAAACGCTCCCATGCCACCATTTATACTTTTCTATGGGACCACCTTAGTTTGTTATCTAACACCACATAACTCTCATATCAGACAGCCCTGTGCCACAAACTTAAAGTGCGGCAATAATATTGGGATGCTGCGAAGCTTCCCGGTAATACCCTGGTGGGTTTGAATTGTTGACCTGAGCTGTCATTAACAGCGCATGTACTCCACACTAACATTGGCACAGCTAACTTAGAAATTCACGATGCAACTGACTTCAGAGCTGGCTTGACGTAGAATTCAAGACTCAGATTGTTGTGCCATTGGCCTTGCCTGACGCTACCGCAGGTGAGGGTCGCTGATAGTATGCTTGACCGGACCTCTCAACATCGTCAGAACCGGTGGAAATAACCCTGGTGCACATTGAGCCAGGAACGCGTCGTGAGGCGCAGACTTTCACATTTTTAACGTAGAGTGTGCGACAACGATTTCATAAGCCAGTGAACTGACATAGTTTTATGTGGAACGGCATGGTCTGACATGCACGAACAAGAGCCTCTAGATTAGTTTTTAGTAATTTGCGATGATCTATTTGTCTATAAAAGTAAACCTGGTGCTTCCTTGTTTTTTAACTTGTGCCTTTTATTGTCACGATTTGACGGGCGTGGAATCACTGATGACTGTTGCTGACTCTTGCTGTGTTTTGTCATTTACTTGACTGTCGAATAACACCACAGTCACGATGGTGCGACAGATACACTTATCAATGCTGAGAGAAACATAGCGTATCTTTTATCTGGGCCACCTTGCATTTTTAAAGGTGCGAAAATTTGAAGTCTATTGCTCTTTATCCCAATTCGGGTGTTTTCATGTTGAAAATTGTCAAACAGGTTCAGATTCGCCTACAATAAGCGAGAGTTGGCGTGAAAAAAAAATAAGTTGTCTAGCGAACACCATTTGGTGCAAACTGAGCGTAATAACCGTAGCGATGTGCCTCGTCATTGGTATACCAATAACTAAAAATTTGCTCTGCATTTCATCGAACCAGAATTATTTTTTGCTCATATGAATTGAGGGGCTCGAATGAATACTGAGGGGAGCTAACGTCAGCAATGAGGAGCTCAGGTCCATCCCCAAAACCATGCAAAGTGACGACGCACCTTGTTGTGACACATACATGGGTGAAAGCTAAACGCCAACCAGTCAGGCTTTCTAGGGACTGGATTCTGAGGATTCCATAACACCTGATAAAGGTCGGATTGCTACTTAGCCGAAACGTTGAGTGCATGATAACACAAAAGACGAGAGCGATTGTCGGAGCAGTTATTAAATCTGTGCTGAATGTGCGTTTTGCGTCATTTTACACGCGTCGATTACGACAAAAAATGTATTCTGCTTCATTTCCCACACATCGATTTTTCCCCAGATGCTCTCTGAGATGGCCGAGCTGACGCACAGACACACCCACCTCCTCCGTGCAGGCTCCGGCACACACTGAGGCCGTGATGAAGTTCTTCTGTCCAGGAGGGATCAGCTGGGTGGACGATACCGCGTGCCCCACGGTCAGGACGCCCGCCTCCACCGGGCGAAGCGAGCGCGTGAAGAACAACTCGATACCGCTGCTGTCCTTCAAACCTGCGAGGCAGCGCGGAACACTGACCGAACATCGCGGCCGACACGGCTGGGCGGTAAAAGTACACGCCACTTGGCTTAGGCAGATCATGGATATGCACGACAAGAAATGAAGAAAAGACAGAAATGAGCAAGGTGAGTCGAGCGCGTCACCCTAGACAGCCCGCGCAATTAGAGGTTCGCAGCGCATCGGAGATCCTTCCTTTTGTGTAGAAGTGCAAAAAGGTACTAACAGTTAACGTCCGCAAAATTTTAGCAATCTTCGAAGTTACAAATGATAGTGTAGGAATTACATTCGTCGTTTCTTTCTGCATGTTATTGCTGTCTACAGCGCACTATGCAGTCATTTTGTCCATCGAGAGGCAATAAAACTATACTGCGCGGTACTGAAACAACACTACACTGCACCTGAACAGCATCATCCACCCACGAAGAGCTGACCTATACGGCCCTTCACAGCCGGAGGGCGGAAGAAAAGACGACACAACGATATAAGAGCGTACGCGCGACCAATACAGTAGTCTCCAAGGCAGGGATCCTAGGCCCTGGTGGGCGCTGAGGCTTCGGCGGACTCCGTTCTTCGCAACTGCCGTGTCAGAGCGCGGTTTGATACCCGTCTGGGACGCAGCCAGCCGGCCCTCGCGGATCAGTGCTGCGCAACTGCTTCATTTTGCGTCACACTTAAGCGCCGTTCATTGCAACTGGGGAGTACATACGACTCCCCAGTGCAAGGTGACACGGCCATGTTGGCATGGTCTGAGGCTTTGCTGGGACTGAAACCTGATCCTTCTCGCATGGTCCCTCCTGAGGAGGTTCTCGTCTTATTGCTTGTCTGAGACGCGATGCAAGTCCGAAACGCTTACCAAAATTTAATGCCAATCACCTTCTGTATGGAGCTTTTCCAACCTTTTCACAACCTGCCATGACTTCCAATCGTCTGTTTTATTTTAAGAACGAACACGGGTACCTTCCAGTTTTGCAGTGCAGCACGATTGTGCCCCTTATCAAAATACGTGGGTTTAGTCCTAACGCCTTACGATATATATCAGCCGATCTCCCTCGCTTCAGTGGTCCTTACCATTTGTAGAGATGTTCCTCCTTGATGAGCAGTCGTCATTTATACCAAGCGAGTTACCGTTCGATTTTGCAGAAGGCCGAGGTACGCCTGAAACTACAATCATTGTGCAAGGACTGCGCAGCGGCCTGTTATGTCAGGGCTTGCCAGTCTGTGCCGCTAATCTAGATGATCGGGAATGCTTTGCCAGTCTCTGACGCGCTGCCCTTCTGTTGCGCGCTGATGAACCACCTGGCTGTGCTGACCTGGGCTCTCCTGGCAGCCTGAGAGTCATCTGGCGACACGCGCTATGCTTGGCGGCCAGTGTTCGCCAGGCTTCCGTTTCCACAAGGGCGTTAGTCAAAAATGTTATTTTGCCACTCCGGCTTGAATTTTTTCTGTTTCAACCTATTAAATCGATTCCTATTCAATCATTAGACAGCTGGACCTCAGTGGTTTTGGAGGACGGCCCCATGGCTCTCATGTCCCAGAAGTATGTGATGCAGACCACCTACCCATCCCTTCCTGCAACACGCACCATCTGAGTCACACGCATAGGGTTGCTGAAGAGCTCGCCACCTGGTGAGTTTGGAGTTTGTGCACGTTAATCCGGCACACACCAAAAGCCATTGCCTTGTTTTCAGAGGGGGACTCTTGCTAGAAATGCCTGAATAGCTCCTGTGTGGGCAACGATTGGCCGTGCGTGACAAGACCGAGCATTCGAGTGTCGTTCTCGATGCGGAGCTGCGCAGGGGGCCTTGCGTGAACACACGTCTGGACCGTTCGCGCAATTCATTTGCACTCCGGTACCAGCCGATAAGCCGAGTATCCACCTTCCGGCGCCGCAGAGTATGCCTGTGGCGCACTCTCTAAGCTGAACTCTTCTTGTTGAGGGAGCTCAACGAGTTGCTTGAACCGCAGCAGACATTGAGCGCATGGAGGCCTGGCAGATATCTGCTTTAAAAGCAGCAGCCAGACTTCCAGGACGAGCGCAAAACGCCTCTCTTTTCTCTACGCGTACCGCAATATCAGGATGAGGTTCGGTCTGCTGTGCTCGGAAAGTTTTGCAGCCTTTTTCGCTTTTCACATAGTTCGCACCGAGCCTTTTTGATGGCTCTAGTCTTGCTTCCCTGCTGCCCGGGTAAGCTTGCTGGGTTTTTCGCCGGATCCGCGTCTTGGCACTGCTGTCAAGAGCGGGCACGCTGGTAAGGTTGACTTGCGAGAGGCATTCTGCTAACTTTCTCCAGTGCGGTCCCATGTGACGTGACTGAGCCACTTAGGTGGCTGTTGGTGGAAACTGACCGACAATGTTCACAATTGCACGTCTATGGATTCAAACCTGCATGCAGACATTTCCGTAATTTGACTGGCTTGCGCAAAGCATGATCTGGAAATTTCGGTCGACGAGCAAGATGAACAGCTTATAAACTTTTTGGTGACGGTGACGGGAGTTTGGAAAAACGTTTATATGTACAACAAACTGGGTTGTGCGTCGGTGCAGTTCTTATGACCCTTTTCCATCGATATAGGCCACATTGCATTGTATTTTAGACCGGCATTGGACAGTGTAACACTCTGATTCCTGGTGTTTTATTGGCGCACTAGGGCTTAGAGGGTACTATTACACACGCGCGCGCGCACACACACACACACACACACACACACACACACCACACACACACACACACACACCACACACACACACACAACACACACACACACACGCACCGCACACGACACGCACACGCGCACACGCGCACGCGCACGCGCACGCGCACCCGCACCCGCACCCGCACCCGCACCCGCACCCGCACCCGCACACACACACACACACCACACACACCACACACACCACACACACCACACACACACATATATATATAATATATATAATATATTATAATATATATATATATATATATATACATCTCTCTCTCTCTCTCTTTCTCTCTCCTCTCTCTCTCCTCTCTCTCTCTCTCTCTCTCTCTCTCTCTCTCTCTCTCTCTCTCTCCCTCCTCTCTCTCTCTCTCTCTCTCTCTCTCTCCTCTCTCTTCTATAGAGTTATATATAGCTATAGTTGTGTATATTAGAGGAGGGATACCGTTTAACTTTTTCTAAATAGAACGTTTTCACGCACCGTGCACCTGGTTTCGCGTCTCTACCTGTTCCGGTTGACGCATTCTGACCTCAGGCCTTCAAAATGTCCGAGGGTGGGCTGGTGCAGAGTTGGTGCATGATTTTTCATGACGGTGTGTGTGCGTCGCCAGTTTGTTGGTTCGGATGTCCGTGGTCTCTGTCTTTATCAGTCGGTCTCACGTCAGTGTGTCGTCTGCTCGTCGAGATCGGGACCTATTCCTGACCTGAGTCCTCTGGCCTTTTACAAGTGAGGAATGCTACATTTTCTACATTAATCGGATGTTGAGGACATATGCTGGTGATAATGCAACACAGCAGCAATACGCCAACCGATCAGGCAATCTCCATTCAAATATCACAGAACAGCTTTCTAAGAATTTTGCTGAAAACTTAATGGTGGTACGACAAGCTTTGGTACCGACATAAATCCGCCAGGGGCCTAACTGGCCAAACCAGGAAAGGTCGAGCCACTGAACATATCAGGTATCCCGTAAACCGACGTCAAGTCTCGACCGGTGTGAGGCCTGCACCCAAAACACAGTTGTAAGGCGCGCACAGTCCATGTTGTGCCGCCATGCAAGTCAGCTAGTGCCAGCCGATCGATGCCTCCCTGACGCCTGAAAGCCGACTCACCGGCGTGCTTGCGAGGGTTGTCGTAATGAAACTCCAGCATGAAGAAGGTGAAGCCGCCGTGCTCGTGGCCGAGCGGCGCGCCGACGTGGTCCGGCAGCATGTCACCCTCCCCTCCGACCGCCCAGCCGGAGGTGATGCTCCCGCAGAAAAACCAGTGCGGAGGCATGTTCTTGCTGTTGACGGCAAAAGGCGGCATGAGCGACGGATAAATGGCCGCCGGGGTGACGTGCCCGTCTTGGTGGCATCCAGACAAACGAGCGCAGCCGTGCGCAATATGGGAGTTGATGACGGAAGGCACAGAAGATGCGCTAAAGTCACGTTAGGTGGTGTGGTGGCCCGCGGCTTCTCTCTCTGCTCCACATACCGATGCCTACAGAGCAGGGCCGATTGAAGTGAGTCCAAGGTACATGTAGACTTTTCTACATCCCCCTGTGGCAGTGTGCGGCGGATGTAACAACGTGTCATTCACACCTTGGCGAGCGGGGTAAACTGCCCCGAAGCGTGACAATGGTGAGATCGTTCGAGCAACTGCAGACTTTGATATCCCCGAGCGGGTTCAGGGACGGCTGTGGAGTAGCCACCCACAAGTGTGACAGTAGTGAGATCATTCGAGCAGCTGTAGACGTTGATATCCCCGAGTGGGTTCAGGGACGGCTGTGGAGTAGCAACGCAGTTGGCTGCCGGCAATGAGGTACGCCG